GGCGGGTCGGTAAGTCACGGCCGCCGCGCGGAGGCAGAGCGGGAACTGCCCGGCGTTCCCGCCCGAAGCGGCAGGCTCCGTGGGGGGAAGGAGCCGGAGGTCTGGTGAAAGGCTGATCGAACGGAGTGCGTGGCGTTAGAGATCTCTGAGCTTAACGCTTGCCTCTGAAAGTCGTCGTTAATCCTTTTTTTTCCCGTTTCTTCGGGCCTCTTTATTCCTCCTCCTTGCCTCAACACTCCACACCCCACACCCCCCCAGTGAAGAAATCTCCAAACCTGCAAGAAGAAGGAAAGGTGTCCATAGCTTGAAGATAAACGGCGGTGAGGAAGACGTGACAACAGAAACACGGAGAGGTCACCCAGCTCCGCGGGAAGTCGCTTCCAGCTGGGGAGCGCTTACGCTAGCAAGGTAGGAGCCAGAGGTGCCCCTACAGCTCCCACCGTAACTGCTGGTTACCCCTCATACAGGTAAGCCTCTCCTGTGTCCAGACCCAGCTGGTCCAGAGCTCTTGGCTGTAGATACAGGTTTGTGATTCAGGGCCATTTCTGAATTAGAGAAATGAACCCCCCCAAAATGGCCTAAAATGGCGCAGGACCACTTATTACAGGAGGTGTAGTGCTTTCAGTTAGTCCTCATTGTATGATACAACCAGAAAGGATTTCTATCTCAAGTTTGTTTCCATCGGCCTCTCTAGAGCAGGTGTTGGTGATTTTCATGTCCCAGTTACCACGTCTTCTCTTTGAGCACCAGATTAGTCAGCACACTTGTCTCTGAATAGGTACTCCAGGGTAGTGAGAGTTTGAGCTCCAACTGGATGCATTTTACACTCAAGAGCCTGCTAAATGTTTTATTTATTTAGTCTCTTAAAGTTCCCTGCTTCCTGGCAAAGCCAGAATGTGTGTTTCTACAGGCCTCAGTCCTGCTCACCTTGGAATTGCAAGTTTTGGCAAGGACTTTAACAGCCAGTAAGGTGGAGATCAAGTAAAAACGGTAGCATAAAAAACTAAAAGCTCTACCTCTTATAGATACACAGTTGTGTCCTACCTAAGGACCACTGCATCTATTTGTCATCACTAAATTTATGTACAATCACAGAAGACACTTGTGGTCCATGCAAATGGACCTCCGACTGGAGAGTGTAGGGGTAAGTATGGGTTAAAGCACGTCAGCCAAACGAGAACTGCCAGGGGCTGCTGGCACTGTGGGATTGAGCCCTGTTGGGGCGGGCATAGCCCAGCAGGGCTTGCTGCTGCTGGCTGTACACTCCCCTTAGGGAACAGCCCTGCTGCTGACAGCAGCCCCCTGTCAGTATCCCCAACAAGGGGAATTGGAACCCCTCTCCTCTTCAGATCAGTAAGATTCTGCAAGAAGGGCGAGGTTACTAAAATGAAGACTACTTTAGCTATGTAAGCTCTTCCTGGATTTCTCTTTCAAGTTTTTGGCAATGTTAGACTTTGAAAGGTAGGCCTGCACAGTTGAAGTTTGAGGAATACCTGCCTTAAAACGTAGGTTCTACAAATCTTTATGTGTGGAATTGGCTACTATTACTAAGTGCATGGAGAAAGGATGGGTGGGCCTGGTACCTGGAATGTTTTTCTTTAGAACTCGGAGCCCCAGCACCTTGAGCTGAAACTATCAGCACAGTCAAGTGCTCAGGACTTCTGAGAAAGTAAAACTACTCAAATTAGCAAAAATACAGTCTGCACGCATCCTAGTGCAGCCGATTTACAGAGACTGCACTATGCACCCCCAGCAGCCAGAACTGACTGATCCAACTTGGAACCTGCATCTTTGCTGAACTGAGCTGCCAAGACCAAAAGGAGAGCACTTGGTTCCATGCACAAATAGGCCTTCACCTGACAACCAGAGTGACAGAACTTGTGTGGGTAGCAGCCTCGGAGCCTAAGGTATGTTTTAAGTAGTACTGGGGGAGGGAAATGTGGTTTGTCTGGTAGGTTGGTTTTTTTTTTAATAGAAATATATATTTATATATAGTAATTGTCATCTTCACTTCTGAGAAGAGAGATCTGAGGCTGCCTTCTGTTAAGGCCAGTATGGTGCCTGAGTGGAAAATTTCACTCCTCAGTTTCAGTAAGATGCAACTTAGGCTGGTTCTTGTGAATAGCTGTAAAATGAAAGTTACTGCAGCAGAGCTCTGTAATCAAGAGGTCTCCATGGACAGCCTGTCATCCTGATGAGAGACACTTCTTAATTAAGCAAAGATGCCACATTGTAGCTGAAACAATTCCTAAGTGTCCCAGTTTCCCTCATCATATCACAATGAGTCTGGAGTTACAAAGCTCCCAACGACAAGGCATTTTAGAGGATTTCAAATTAACGATAAGTCTAAAAGTTCAACACTCGAGCACGTGCAGCATTCAGAGAACACATTTTGAAATGTGTCTGAAGAGCAGTAACACAGTTTTGTACTACTGCAAAGATCTTTGAAAGGAAGAGTGCAGGTAGCATCCCAAGTATTGCTGGGGAGACCTGAGATCCACACACTTCTGTGAAAAGCTCAACTTTAGTTGCAGGCAAATCAACTAAGAAGTAGCCCTTGCAGCTAAGCTTAACTGATTTCATGATTAAACTTGTTCCAATTAATGGGAAAACCAGAAAGAGTCCATGGACAAAATATTGGACAAACTGTTTAAGCTGTTGAGGGAGGACGCTGGTATTTGTGAAGCAGCTGGCAGTGAGAGCCTGGAAGAAAAAAGCAAAACACCTGCCTGCAGATAAGCACTAAATTCAAGCACAGGAGCTAAGTGAAGGGGAACATGCTGCTAGTGTGCTTCAACATATCAAGTGGCAACACCGAAATGCTGTATGAGTATCGATCATCTTACTCAGCTGGTTAGTACCCTTAGGTTATGTCTACACCAGCGTGTAATATAGGCCCACGGAGTGAACCTGCGTGCTCAGTCCCTGATCATCTGTGCTGCATACTATATTCTGGAGTAAAATTGCAATAGTCCACATTCAGTAATTCTAACTGCTCCTGAAGGATCACCAGTCGAATGAGGCTGTCTACCAGGGTACCCTGCAAGAGCTACATGTCTAGGAGACTAGGGCGCAGGCCCACCAAAACCAACACGTGGTCTGGGCCATGCCTAGTTACATGGCAACCTGGCATTTTTGGAACATGAAAGCCAGATCTCTGAGAAATAATGTAGCAGAGTTACAGGCAAGTCCTCACAGCATTTTTGGTTGCCTTTCCTGGAAAGAGGCTAGTCCCAAAACGGCCCCCTGCCAATTCTTCCTGTACCTCTATGCATGACTAGGAGAGAATACAAAAGGTGTAGGACAGGAAATGTTCTCGGATGTTGTTTCTTAGCTCTCCCCCTCCCTGTTTCCCCCAGGTAAGGGAACCGTATATTAAGCTGAATCGTATGCTGTGGGCTTTGAACTAGGGAGTTTGTAACCACTGAGCAGAGAGCGAGCATGAAGTGCCTTGGATTGTCATGGCAAGAGTGAAGGCACAGGGGCCTGCACTGCTTAGAAGGAGTGTCTGTATGAAGACTCAATGCGTGCAGATAAAGCCCATCAGCAGGTTCTCAGTGTGCCTAGTTTGAAAAACAAACAGAAGCAGCGTTAGAGCAAGAGAGTGCCAAGGACTTCACCTGGGCTAATACTACCTGGCTTCTGTGCCCCTGGCACATTTTACTGTGTAGATGTAACAGTCCTGTTCATTGCCTTGCTTTGCTCCTTCCACAAATGTTCATGATAGATTGATATTCCAACTCCGAGGCAAGAGACGTGTTTTCAGCTAGTTTATGGGGGAGAACTACCATTCAGAATAAATAAATATTTTGGTAACACTATGTGCAGCAAGGGGACTGCAGAAATGAATTGTAGTTTCCATCACATTGTGGCAATGGCGGCCTTCCTGGTGGGGGTGGGGGAATGCAGAAACAATAAAGGCAACGTGTCAGGCTTTTCCAGGTCTCATCCTCTCTAGAAACATTAAAAAAAAAAAGGGAAGAAAAGTAACAAACATCTTAAATGATGTGTTTCTTGGGAACTAAGCAATACTGGCCATGTTAGTTATTTCCTTTTTGGCATGTTTGTTCTCCTCTGACACCAAACCTCTCAGTGGTATGTACCCTGCTGCTTGTGAGGCTGTGGTCTAGATTGGGCTAATGCAGTTTAAATGACAGACTTTGGAGAGTTCATATTAAAAAACATGGATCATCTTATGGATCTGACTTAGGGCACAGCCATGTGAATTACTCAGCACAGCTGTATTAATTCCGGCTCTAGGGGAGAAGGTGGGAGTAGAGTGAGACCAAATGACTTAAACCAAATCGACTGCCAATGGAGCATGAAGCCGCACCCTCTGTGATAGCAATTGGTGGCTAAGGGAGGTATGGATGTTTCCTCATCACTCAGCCAGTAATTCCAATCACATTCCTTCTGTTCATAGCTTGCTTGTTTCCTCAGGATCCTGTGCTCCTCAGGCTGGGCATTCTCTTTGTCCTTAGTGATACTCCCCATTTGGGAGCTCACTTAGTGTGAAATCTCATTGTTAGCATTAGGCCTATATGTGGTGCTGAAAATAAAAATTCTACAGCACAACAGATTTGATCACTTCATTTTCTTGCCTAAAGCAGTCTGTGATTTCTTCCCGTTTGGCTCCGTGGGTAGAACAGGCATTTCAGTATACACTGCCACGTTCATTACAGGGAGTTCTTATATGCTAGAGATATTAACATCTTTGTTATTACTGCCAGTTCTCTCCTCCCCCGTACCAAGCAGTTGCCTGAGCTAGAATTCCTTTTAAGGACAGACTCCCAGTAGTAGTATTCTCCTCCTCAAAGCGAAAAAGATTGCTTCAGAGGTCAGTTCCTTCTGCTTTCTCAGAATCCTGCCTCCCCCATATTCCTTAGCAAGTCATCATTAAAGATGTCAAAACAGCTCGCTAAAATATCACATAAATTCTAGAAATCAGTGCCATAATTACCTCTTTGTAATCATTAACAACTCAAAACCATAGTGTTTGTGTTAAAAAGTTTTATGCAAGAAAAAATGTTTAACATTTAATATAAAATCAAAGTTTGACATAGTTTATTTTTCAAACACCATCCTTTTTCTGTTCATGAACTGACAATTAGAAGATCACAATTTAAAAAGTCATCCTAAATATTTTTAAAAGCCTTATAAAAACATTCATAAAGTGCCACCCACAAAAGCACCTAAACAAGAATCTGAGAGAAACACCTATTAGGATGTTAATTTACTTAATTGCTGTTGAGGACTAAGCTGTCAGACAGCAGCATAACTTGTGGAACTGTCAATTTAACAACCATACAACCCAGCAAAAATACTGCTCCATAGATGAGGCCCCAACAGAGCATCAGCTGGGCCCACAACATGTATGCAGAGGCACCCAGCACAGTGTTGTGGGGTTTTAAAATAAATAGATGCTAACACCACCTAAAACCAAGAATACCGGCAAGTGGGAGATGTGGATTCTAAGGGGAGTGATCATCACAGGCTGCGGCCTTACCACAAGGCAAAAGCCAGGCAGCTTGTACAGAAAACAGGTACAGATTTTCGCTGGTTTTTACTGGGATAAAAATCACTCCCCACTAGAAATAACAGAAGGCACTGATCCTTGGAACGTCTCTAAGTTCTCCTCTCTGGCCTTGAACGTACCATACCGTATAAGCACCTGTATTTTCCCCATCTCCAAAAGAGGGGCTCAGAACAACCACTGCACCGCAGTGAACATGCACTAGTTTGTTCAGCAGCGGCCTCCCTCTTCGCTCGAGTGTCTGAGCAGTGCTCACAAACAGATTTACCCAGAAGAAAAGGGGACAGGCTCTGAGGGTTCCCTCCCCCAAAATTCATGCCCCGTACGAGGTGTCCAGGGAGCAGCTGTGTGTCTTCCAAGTACCAGGTAGCTGCCTATGGTCCACATGGCCTTCTCCTCTCCACCAACTACTCTGTATGGTGCTTCTGGTGGCGCACCAGCTGGGGCTGGAACCGAAAGCTTTCCCCACACTGGGTGCAGCGGTATGGCTGCTCCCCAGTGTGGATGCGGGTGTGCTTGATGAGGTTGGAGTTGCCACTGAAGCCCCGGCCACACTGGCTGCATTTGTAAGGCTTCTCACCAGTGTGGGTACGAGCGTGGTTAATGAGGTCAGAGCTCTGCCCAAAACGTTTGCCACACTGCCCACAGGCATAAGGCCGGACGCCATCGTGGGCTCGCTGGTGCTGAAGGAGATGGGAGTGCTGGCTGAAGCTTTTCCCACAGGCTGGGCACTTGTAGGGCCGCTCACCTGTGTGCATACGCTGGTGTTTGATGCAGGTGGAGCTGTCGCTGAAGATCTTCCCACACTCGCTGCATACATAGGGTTTAAGCCCAGTGTGGATACGCTGGTGCTTGAGAAGGTTGGAGCTCTGGCTGAAGCTCTTCCCACACTCGGCACAGGTGTAGGGTTTCTGGCCTGTGTGGACCCGCCGGTGCTGGATGAGATGGGAGCTCTGGCTGAAGCCCTTGCCACACTCTGCACACAGGAACGGGCGCTCCCCAGTGTGCATTCGCTGGTGCTGGATGAGGTGGATGCTCCGACTGAAGCCCTTGCCACACTCAGAGCAGATGGTGGGCCGCTCTGCACGAGGGGCTCGCCGTGAGGTTGCTGCCACCCTTCTCTCCTGTCTTTTCACCAGGCTGATATCAGAGCAAGGCAGCTTAGCCTCCTCTTCCTCCTCACAGCCATCTTGCTGAGCCTCCAAGGAACTGCGCCGACTTCCATGGCTGTCCCCAAGCTGTTCCTCTCCTCCTCTGGACCCCACTGTCAACATGTCCTGCAGATCTGTGCTTGCAAGGTCATCTGAACGGGGACCTAGCTCACCACCTGGAAAAAAAGTATGACTCTAACAGTGATTCTCGCTGGGAAGTAGCACAGCAGAGAACAGGCAAGCTGTTATCCTAGGGAGCCTGGTCTGCACCATGTAGGAGAAACAGTAAAGGGAAGAGTGGGAGCAAATGGAAACCTAGCTGCAGGAGAGGCTGTATGGCCTCATCATGCGACCCAGAGCAGATGTGCCATGAACAGCAGAGCCAAGGGCAATGCTACAGGTGTCTCCTTGTCCCCAAGGAATCTTCGTATTTTGTCTTCTTAATATTCTGTCGTCTTATACATACTCTCAACGGCAGGCTGACAGAGGCAGGCTGTCTGCCTGCCCTGAGGGGGAAGGAGCAGGTCTCAATATGAGCTGCATGAAATTGGCTTAAATAACGCGGAGGCAACTCAAACAGCATTTTGCTTGCTCTGTGTTTATAAACTTGTCTAACTTATTCCTCACCCATGTGTGTCTCCTCCAAGGCCTCATGATCTTGTTCTTCTCCTTGGTCCATCTGGGCAGTTACCTCAGGTTCAGCAATCAGGAATCCTTTTTACAAAAGCAAACAGAAGTAATCTTAGTTGAATATTCAGCAAGAGCTTGTCATATGTCTTAAAATCTACTGCCTCTACTGAATATGGAGAACAAGCAGAGTGGTTGCATAAAAGAATGGACTCAACCAAGCAACAAACATTTATGGACATCCCGTGCACTACTGAGGTGTCTGGTGTCAGATACTTGCCTTAAAGGAGATTCAAAGTTGCCCCTCTTCTGATAAGTGATATACATTAGGACATACACCAGATGTGCTGGACTCAGAATTGGTTGACAGTAACCATAGATATAGGTGTAAGCAAAGAGCAAAACCCAGCCATACTTACATTTCTTTAATAACGACAGCCAAAAGACTAATTACTCTCCTAAGATTAATTTAAATGGAGAATGACTCTTTTGTCACCAGAACCCCAGAACCTGATTTTCTTACTTGCTACCTTATCTCTTCTTTCTCCTCCAAGACTCTCAGGCTGAGGCAGCAAAAACCAACAAAACAGGCAATTTGATGTCTTGTCTACTCTAGCTGGATTATGTTAGTTCCCAGCCTGGCATCCCTGCTGAGCTCCAACAACTGCCATGAATGCAACTGTTGGGCAGGGTGCTCTTACAAATGCCATCAGCACCAAAGACAAGAATTTTTCCTTCAGTATTTACTATTTTAAGGCTAAAACCAGCCAAACAGTAAGCAACAGCAGTTAGCATCAAGAGGGCAGGCATTAGCAGTTGCTGCAGGAAAAATGCAGAAGAACAGAAAAAATACAATGGTAAGAAAAATCCCACTTTATTTTAAAAAGTAAAAATCGAAGATGGCAGGGAAAGGATACCACATGGATGAGTCTAGGACCAGAGACTGATGTGCATCACACCTAAAGCTGGGATTGCTTATGGGAATATTTTTAAAGCACTTAAGACATTACTCTTTCTCCCCCTTTTAATCTTTATACTTAGTTAATATTAGTTTGCATCACTTCAGAATTATACTCTCTGAACCCTGCTTCAAGCTACCAATCTCTCCAGACAACCAATACCTCTGGACAACTACTCAAGCTCCAGATGGAACTGACTAACTGGACAGATGGGCACTGGTGCAAACAAACACTGATGGGTGCCTGATCCTGGACCACTTCATCCATCACCAATAGCTATATAATGGCAGGTAACGGGTAATAAGGGATTAGATAGTGTCAGAATCAAGGAGACAACTCAGATGAAGGGAACAGTTTTGGACCTCGGATGCCAGTGATTACAAAACCACCAGTCTTGAAGTCTTTTATTCTACATGGCAAAGCTGGACAGAAAGAAAGGGAGCAAGCAAAAGAGAAAGACTTCAATCTTGAACTGCAGAACCATGAAGAAAAAAATAATAAGATAAGCAAAAAAGAAGCCTTAGCAGAAAAAAGCCACCTTAAATGTTAATAATGTGAGTCCCTACTTCAAATATTTGCTGAATGCTGAAGTGGACCACCCCTGCAGATGGATCATTTCCAGTAGTTCCAAGCCGATATACAAAGGGAGGTTGCTTTCTGCAGCCTTGTAGCTCTCAGGATTTTGCCACTGCTGAGAATTTCTGCTGCAACAGTTTGTCAGTACAAGCCGACCAAGCTATTTACATGCTGCAATATGTACCAGATGGCCCACCCCCACTCTAGAGCAGGAGGAGTCAAAATCCTGTCCACACATAGACCTCTCCCCCAGGCAGCTAACCACAAACAGCAGGGTTTCTCTCTGAAAGCTGTCAACAAACAGGAACTTTAGAGGAGCAAATCCCTCAATATCTCAGAGGTGGTACCAGCATCTGACAAATGTCCAACAATCACCACCCGAGGAAACATCTATGCAAGCAGACAAGGTAGAAGGAAGAGTTCCTTTCTGACCCTGCAAAAATTTCCTAGCTTGGGTTGCCACTGACATACTGCTGTCATGCTCAGATTTGCTACGGCAGCTCAGCAGAAAGCAGATAACCTTTATACAATTAACAGGCTAGTCTGCAGTAAGAAAGAGTTTCTTCCTTTCCCATGATCACAGTCATGTCTCTGTGAAAGGAGGGGACAAACCTTATCAACAGAGGGGACATTCCTTCAGGGATTTCATCTGTTACTAGCAGAAGCATATCCCTGAGCGTACTGGGTTATTGCTTGAATGTGGAAACCAAAACAGGAGGAATGTCTGTGTATGTGGGTATGTGGGGTTACTGTAAGCAACATCCACAGCTTTATTAAAACAAGATATGAGGTGTATCTAACCTGGACCTCCAGCAGGGGCTTTGAAAACACACCATACTGTTCCTGGGGCCTTGGCTTTAGTATTGTGATAGCATATATAGATTTTATAGGTGGGTCCTACAGTTTGTGTTCTTTACCTTGGCTACTTATTTTCTCTTCCGACCACTCGGGTCTGTATTCCTCCCATGGCTGTACCAAGCTGTGGAGGTTATGGGACTCATCCCAGTGCAGAGCTCCATACTTTCAGCTTCTCGTGCTCCTGAAGAGCTATCAGCGGCGAAGCGCTCTCCGCACAGTCATGCCAGGCATGACAGCGCAAACCTGCAATTCAAGAAGACGACATTCAAATCTTCCTTGCCCAGCTATTATCTGGGATAGATAATGCTTGCAGTAAAACGAAAAGGTGAAGGCGTTTTTATCACAGGAAACAGTCAATTACGCAGCTGGAAACATTTCTTTTGGGGGTGGTGAGTTAGCCCCCTTCCCTGTACCGTCAGATTTGTTCACAAAGGACAGCGCTTGCCAGCGACTGCCTCCCCGCCCAGCTCCGTGCCCAGCTCGGGGTGCTGAGGGCGGGGGAGGGGGTTGCTGGCAGACAGACACAGGAGGCGGAACGGGGGGGGAGGCTGCGGAGTGCGCTGCCAGAGCACCCAAAGGCGGGGGGTGCGCAGGAGGCGGCAAGTACGGTGTAGCTTTCGGGAACAAGGATCTTCCACAGAGCAGGGGCCGGGGCGCAAAGCTGCCCGTCTGCAGCAGCGATCAGAGGCACTGGGTGGGAACGGGGGGGAAGAGACGCGTCTGCTCTGCGGCAGGTGAAAAGGGATGGAAGGGGGTCAACCGCCTGGCGGGTAAGGGGCGCAAGCAGAAGAGGACGGCAACGCCAGCGGAGCGGCGTCCGTAGCAAGGGCGAGCCGGCCCTCCCCGTCTCCGAGCTGCATTCTTTCTTCTTCTCCTCCGGGTAGCTCCGTCCTCCACAGGGCCGACGGACGAAGGCTCTGGCTCGGGTTTAAAGCCCGGCTCTCAGTGCGGCCGGCCTCCCCCGAGAGCCGGCACGGACCCGCGCGGGCGCCCCCGGCCCTGCCCCTCGCTGCCGCCTTGTCCCCCCCCCGCGCCGAG